GCTTCTCTTCCTAGCCTTCCTCTCTGGGCTCAGCTGAAGTCCCATGGGGCATGCAATGCAGGGATCAGGGGATCTGCAGGCTGCCTGGCCTTCTTCTGGGTGCTGTCCCTGCTCACGCAGCCCGATACAGCCTGGTATTTGCCTTTTACGTGAGTATATCCCATTCAGTTCATCACACGCCAGCTGAACTATAACATGATATAACATGAACAGCCTTCCCACTTTGGCTTAAGCAATCTGCACTTTGCTTTTTCTAAGATATAACTTCCTAAGAGCCACAAGGCAAGCTGCTGCCATAGGAAATGAGGTAGAACTGCTTGTGTTGCTGCTTCTCTTCAATCCAGAAGATAATCTTCAGGGAGAAGATGGAAGGGATCCTTAGCATAACACATGCTCTCACACAGAGCTGAAGCTCCAGTGCCTGACTTTGGCTATGAGCTGGAAGCATGCAGGCAAAGACCACACTGGAGATATCCAATCCTCATTTTATTCTTCACCAGCCTATTGTACTCCCAGCTCTTCTCTCAGCTTTTTCCCATTGCTGGCACACATTTCTATCCCACGACAGCCCAACACTAGCCAGACTGCCCTCCAGAAAACTTGGCTAGACCTTGCATCTAGGCAGAGCATTGAGTGTTTGCTAATGCTCTTGCAAACCACAGCCTTGCAGAAGTCATGCCAATACCTCCAGTGCTTGCATATCCTCCTCAGCCTAGCAGCTTCTCACTCTTCTCTTCCTTTGGTTTTCTCTTGCCATGTCATAGAAAAAGCATAAGTAGCAGACACAAAAGAAACCTGACCTGCCAGCCCAGGCGTGCTGCCCAGGTCCATGCCAGTCTCCTGGCTGCCCACATTGTGATTCTACTTCCCATCCATCAAATCAGGAGCAAAAGAAATCTGTGATCAATCTGCTCTGGCTTGGGAAGCTTGCCAGTAGATGTGCCATACACACCCACCAAAGGAGTGTCCTGATTCTCCCCCGATATCATTCTCCCCAACCCCCCAGTGTCATTTGTGAGCTGTGCCTGCAGCAGCACCCAGGAGGTACTGGAGGCAGCTGCTGGAGGAAAGCTCTTCAGCAACCTCCTTGGTTTGGCATTAGCCCTGCCAGGCTACAGTGTTTTGCAGCTGGATCTTAGCCCTGGGCTTACACCACACTCTGTGGCACAGGAACTAGGAAAGAATTACAGAGCAGCTCCGTTACTGAAATGCATTTCTCATACATGTTTCAGTTTTGTGCATTAGTGAGTTCTTAGAAATGTTTTGGCCATGAAGCGGTACTACGTGCTACCCAGAAGGCCCGCTTTCCAGCTGCCCAGCAGTGGAGGAAGCCAAGGAGAACATTGGCACAGAGGCCAAAGCTGCCCAGCAAAACGCCCCTGGGCTTAGTCAGGAAGACTCTGCAAACAGCAGCCTTTGACTGCCTGGACTGGTTCTGTCCTGAACAGCCTCAAAGCCGCTGCCAAAACCCAGCACCAGAAAGAGAAAAGGTGTGTTAATGCTGCAAGGCAGTGCTGGGGAGAGCCAGGAGGTCAGACTGAAACAACCACCGCTTCCCTGCCTCGTCCCCAGCAGCGCTCCCTTGTGAGCCCACGCAGCTCAGCACTACTGCTCCAGAGAGCACAGGGGAGGGAGAAGAAACAGTCCCATGGTTAAAGACAACGCTGACACTGCCACAAGCATCCTGTGTCACACTAATAAGCTTTTCTGGCCACAGTGTCAGCCTATGCAACCTGGACTCAGCTGCACTCGTGCCTCCCAGGAAGGGGTGGAGTGGGCAGCGTGGCTGTTCTCTGGTGCAGAGGGATCTGCCAGGGAGGCTCTGAGCCAGAGGGAGCTCGGCACAGGCTGCAGAGGGGAGGTCTCGCCCACAGCATACATGGGGAGATGAGGTTGGTGTGGGAGGAGAGCACTGTTACGGGTGGCAGTTGTACAGTGGGAGTACCAGCCCATAAGCCTCCAGCTTGTCCACTGAGACATTTCACACGACCCTGTGTCTACTCTCAGAGGTGTTAGCTGTTCTCCATTTGCAGTCCGTGGCTGAACTGACTACAGGTAACAGAAACAAAAAAAACGCTGATCTTCTCCTTTTAGGAAGTAAAGAGATTTATTTTAAAAGGTAGAAAATACCTAACAAGTAGCATGGTACTGTACGTTCTAAGTCCTCTACCCTCAGTGTAAAGTAGCATGTCGTCCAGCCTGGACTTGTAGTGATTCCAACCAGGATGAACAAGACGGTTCCAATGATTCTCTGACTTGAGCTCTGGGTAGGGACTGGGGACCAGTGTGCCAGCACACTGATGCAAGGGCTGGAAACTCCCTCTGCAGAAAGATCTTGCCCCTTGTCTCAGCTTCTGTTCAAGTGCTGCTGCACTCAACAAAAAGGACACACCAGTTTCATTCCTTATTTCCCAAGCCCAAGCCTAGCTTCCCTTGGCTCCCAGAGCAGTAGATACACAGGACCAAAACAGAGACAGAGGACTTGAAGAGAAAGAGGTAGGAAATCAGTACAGGTATCTGTGAAAGAGCATGTTGTTGGGAGATACCCAGTTTGTGACTATTAACAGCGCGAGGCAAGAAGTATTGACACACAGACTGTCGGGCACTGTGGATCTGTGCAAAGTGTGACTGTTCCCATCCTCTCCTGTCTGCTAGGGTGAGGCTGGTCCAGATACTGCAGTCTCAGCCACTGAGGCAAGCTGAGTGCTGATGAACATTCATTTCTCCAGTAGTCCTGTCTAAAGGCACAAGGCCAACTGGGTGCAGCAAAAATAAAAAGAAAAAAAAAAAGCAAAAAGGTCGCTGTATGACTGGATGTGTTGACCCAGTTAGGCAAGGCCCAGCAGCACTGGAAGAAGATAGGGCTGAGACACTTTGACCTGCAAGAGAGTCAAGAAACACAACTCAGTGATGGACACAAAAGCAATCTCATACAACATGCTTGCAGTTATCTGTGCAGACCCCACATGTTTTGTCTTTCTTCTGCCTAACTTCAAACACAAGGACCATCCCCTTGCACAAGGGTACATCTATATCCACCACTGGGTACATCAATATCCACATACAGCAATGAAGCAATTGAGTCAAACGCTTCAGAGACAGGATTTTGTCTGCCATTTTCTCAGTGATCAAGCGGAAGACAAAACAAGCTCCAGCTAAAAAGCTTTGCTCCAACCCGAATTCCTGGGACTGGAACCACGCAGGGAACTCAGCAACCCTGGTGCAGGGCTGCAAGCCCCGCAGTGGCTCTGCAGCCAGCAGTATGGTCTTCTGATCCCTCAGCTGACACAAATCCAGGCTTTTTCAAAGGTGTACAACAGCATCACTACCGCTTCCTCCTGCCTTCAGCAACTGAATGTGACAGGGATGTACACACTGGTTGCACGGGGAGCTGTGTATCCACTACATGCTTCACACAATTAACATATGTGGCAGAAGGCCCTTCCTGGCCCCCTCCATGTACCGCTAACACAGTGTGTTACAGCCTGTGTTTCCAGCTGCTGAGACCTTGTTTAAAGTCCTCGCAGACTGCTGCCTTGTCCTATGTTCTTAGCCTTGCCTTCAGCTCATTGCCTCTGCTATCCCCCAAGGCTCTCTGCCTAGCATCCACTTCTAATACATGCCTCTCTCCACAACATTAAGCCACTGCAGCTGATTACTGTAGTGTGCAGATACGCTTTCTGATAGTACTCGTCCTTCCAGCCCCAGGCCTCTAAGAAACTATGAGCTCCCTCCAGCAGCCTTGTTATTGTATTGCAAGCACACTGTGCACCACAGGTGCTGGGAACCCAACCTTATGCTGATTTTCCGTTTTCCTGGTCTTTTTTGCAGTCCTGGAATGGAAGCTGTCTGCTGCGCTGTTTTTCCTGCTCTATTTCTAGGTAGTTGGTGGCCAAGAGGTGCTCCAGGTGGAGCAGGAAGGGAAGAGCCCCTTTGCTACTCCATTTCCCGGGGAAGCTGCAATTGCTGTCTGCCTCTTACCATGTCAGTTGGGCTCTACATCCTCAATGCTGAGGGCTTGACAGCAGCTCTGTACAGAGGTGTTCAAGGGAATAGAAGAGAACTGCAGTGAGAAGCAGAGGGACAGCATTAGTGGAGCACTGGCTGGGATGCTGGCCACATCACAGCCCCTTCTGTGGGGCTGTGTGGCATCTCAGCTAGCCTCTCCCAGGGTCTCCCCCAGCCTGGCACTTCCAACAAACACAGTCTTGATCCCAAGACCACCAAATAAAACCTGTGGCTCAGAAGCTAGTAAAGCAAGTGCCACTTGAGGAAGCCTCCTCTCTCCGGCCCCTGGGTAGGGCAGCTCCACGTGTCCCACAATGGCCATGGGTGGCAAGGCTTGGCAGAGGAGGTGCCCCAGCTCACCTGCTGGATTTCCTGCATTGCCAGGCGTATGGAAGAGTGGAGGCGAGGGAAGGCTCGCTGGCTGCCTCTCTCCTGGACTGAACTTGCCTTTGTCCCACTCTTGTCAAGGCTCTGTTGGTTTTGGCAATTATTGGTCCTCCTGAACCACACATGTCTGAGAACCGCGGCTGCTCCTGACTGCAGAGCAGATCTGCTGGTGGAAGGCCTGGAGGGGCAGGGCTGCTCCTCTGGAGGGGTTTCCCCCTCGACTGCTGGCGAACCCAGCCTGAGGCACTCCAGATCTTCGTAATCCAAACTCTCAGTACTTTTCTGAGGGAGGGAAGAGTGGATTCAGCAGTGACTTGCAGACCCTCTGTACACCCCAAACAGCACAACAAAGAGAAGTACTTAGCTGTGACCACTGCTGACATTCAGGGGACAGGGGAGTGTCATCCAACCACCAGGGCCTCTCCCCCACCCCAGGAGACTCCCCAGTGCCCAGCTGGTGCAAGCAGAAGAAGCCAAGCTGCGTGGCCATAACGGGACACCCCCAATGGGAACACAAAAGAGAGATGCTGCCACAGTTATTCTATCCACTCAACGCATAGCCCAGGCCCCATCCCCTTTTCTGACTGCAGATCCTCGACATTCACCTGCCCACAGGGAACAGTCAGGATCTCCATGAAGGGCTGGATGCCCACAGCCTGGTGATACCGAACCAGTTCAGTGAGCGAGGCGTGAGCCCGGTCTTCCCCCAGGATGACATAGCGTGCATTGGGCTGCATCTCGATCATGTAGTGTCTGCAGCGGCCTTCACCCCTGGGGAGATGGACAGACAGAAATAGTCACTGCATGGGGCCACAATGTCTCTCCAGGACCCAGTCATTGCTTTCTGCACTTGGGTCAAGAAGCCAGACATGATCAGGAGCCACAGTAACAAATAACACAAAGATGCAAGAGAGGCACTATGCTGGAGTGTCACACACTGTGATAGTGGGTGCTGGAGGAGCTGCAATTCCCCCAAGTCAGTGACAGGAGAACCCCGGCAGCTGGATCCAAACCCCAGCAGACTGTACTGCCTCCCATGCTGTTGTCCACATTAAAACTCTGCCCTACTCCTTGCCTGAGGCTGCCCAAAGCCCATGCCCTTGTAGCACTCTGATTGCCTCTCCTCAGGCACTTCTCTAGACTCATCTCTGCTCCAGTCATTGCTTCCTCCAGCCTGGTTTGCCCACTCAGCCATACCGCACAGCCTAAGCTAAGACCTGCACCCTTGGAGCCGCAGCACCCCACCCGCAAACAGATGTAATTTTTGGCAAGAGACAGACTCTGCAGTGTCCTGTCTGCTACTCCAAACTGTCTGAGGCACCCACAACAGGAGAGGCTGAGCATCAACCTCACTGGACTCCTCTGTGGAGGAGATTAACTCCTCCAGCCATGCATAGCTCAGTTTAGGACCTTCTTTTTCCTTCTCCGCAAGGCTCATTACCTACCTGTATGTCAAGGTGTAGCCCGGTCGGCTCTGGCTGATCCGAACAAGGAAGCAACCCAAAGGCTTGTCAATCAGCAAGTTTTCAGCTTCCCTGGAAGCAGGAAAGACTTTCAGTGGACAACGAGCAGCTGTCTCTGTGCAGGGATTGCCATCCTATCTCACGTGCTACCATGGTAGTGCTCCCAGTCCGCAGGGAGGCCAGCATCTGCCCTATGTGTTCCCAGCTAGAGGTTTCCAGACTCAGGCTTGCTGCTGCAGTGAGGCATTAGCAGGCTGAGGAGCACAATACTCTCAGCCAAAGCCTCTCTAAGCAGGGCTGCTCCAAACCTGCTCCAGCAGTCTGACTAGTGCAACAGCAACAGCTGCCTTCCAGGACAGAACACATTACAAAGCATCACTGAGATGGAGAGGCTGTGCACATCTGCATTTCCTATGCTCTGGGGCTGACAGAAGAAATCAGGATGCCACGGGGTAGTGGTGCTCAGCACAAGGTAAGCCCAGTGCCTTGGAAAAACACCAACTTGGATTACACCAGTCTGGTTCTCTAAACTTCCTGCTGGAAGGAGGTCTTCCCCCTCTCTGCCCAACAGACAAAGCACCGCTTTGTGCTTGTCATGTGCCTTGCTGCAGGCTAAAGGTGACTGCAAATCGCCAGTGCAATTTGGGGTTGCTCTGGCTGCTCTGTTACATGAGGCTGAGCTTACACTGCTCTATGGAGACTTAAATCCAGTAACAGGAAGCACCACTTAAAAAGTATCTAATCTTCAGTGTCTTTGGGAAGGATCATGTCCTTCATTGTGAAGTGCTCATGGCTAGCCTATATTTGAATTCAGATAGTTTTGTCTTCCAGGCACTAGTTCCTCTCCTGCATTCTTGGATCTGTAGACAAAAGCATTAATGCAGGTGGGGGCCTCAATAATTATCTTAAAAAAAAGAAAAAAAAATGCAGCTAACCAGGGAGTTGTCAGCTACTGTAGTGTCCTTTACTAAGCTAACATGCTATATAATGTCTCTGAGTAATGTTCACACTGATAAGCTGACAAAATCCAGCAATTTACGATCTAATAAGACTGAAGGAGACCTGCAGCTTTAACAGAAAAAAGTTACAAACTGGAACAAGATGACAACAGTGTTCAAATGACGGGCACACTTGGCAGCAATGCCCACACACAAGTCCCACCAAATAAGGGATGCTGGCAGTTAGCAAGAATGCAGCACCATGGATTAATTTGCACACAGGGGAGACCATAGCCAGAAATTCTGGCATCTACCTGCTAACCCCACTGTCTTGCTTGTATCTGATCATTGGCATAATCAGCACTTCTCTGATTATCACACTGCTTGGAAAGTAGTCCTTCGCTCAGCCGAGAGAGCGAAGTGAGAGGCATACCCGGTAGCAGAATGTCAAGCACTTAAATAAAGATTTTCCCAAAAAAAAGCCCTTGAGAATTCACAGTCTCATAAACAACTCCATAAGAAGGCAGGGCTTTGTGGATGCCTTTCCCAGCCTAAAGGACGTAAATTCCACCTATGCTGCAGACTCCTTAGATGGGCAGAGGTATCAACAAAAAGCCTTCCTTTTCCCATATCTGGGGGCTTTGAGGGAATCTTTCTATTGGGTACTCACTAAAGGCTCTTTATACTTATTAAAATAAATGTATACTGAATTCTGTATTCTCCTGCTGTAAACTGAGTTCTCCTCCTGACCTAAACTGAGAGATATGAGAACAGTCATAATGAGTCAGACCAAAAGTCCACCTTCATTCCCTATCACGTCTCTGCAAATGGTCCACAACAGGGTAAACGCATGTGTGTATTTCCTCTCCAAGTACTTTCACAGCTTCCCTTCCCGGCACAGGATCTGTTCTTAGGAGCCCACAGTGGACTTATTTCCTATGAGTTTCCACAGTCTTTCCCTGGACCCATGTAAAGTTTCAGTATTTGCATCCTGTGACAGGGAGCTCCAAGTTTCCCCCTAAGGATTTGAAGCTCACAACCTAAAAGTGAAAGGTTATGCAGGTCACTCCCATTCCTTACGGAAGCAAATCCTGGCAAATGCAGCCTATGCAGTCCTCCTAAGGACACAGCGGCTTCTGCCTGTTTAGCCACTGTCCAGTGTACTCACCTCCGGCTGATCATCCCATGCAGCCAGCTAGGAAAGGCCCCATCATCCTGCATGACCTTCTGGGCCTGCGTCTCTTTGAACCAGCGGAGAGTTGCTCCTCTCTTGAGTTTCCTCATTTTTGCTTCTTCTCCAGTCTGTTCCTCTGTCCTCAGAACAGGTCGAGGTGCAGAAGGGTCCAGGAAATTATCAAAAGGAGTGGACTGAAAGTGGGGAGAGGGTGAAAGTGGGCATGAAAGCAAGGTCAGAGGCAGGGGACCTTTGAAGGAATCACTTTGGTAGTGATCCCATTCCTGAGTCCCCTAAGACAAGATCAGTTGCAAACTATCAAATGCTGCTTTCAGTTCCTCAAAGGTCCTGACCATGCGTTTTAGCTAACCACAGTAGGAAAAGACTCTCACTTCTAATAATGACAATGACACTGTTCTCCTGGGATCATGCAGGAGGGTATGTGCATGCAGAAAGGGGAAGGCACAGGGAACGAGCACACCTGGCTAAGCAGCCCCAAGCAGAACCAATATCACTACCTCTGTTAGTTTGCTGCGTGGCCGTGGCACTGGTGGCTGTGGTGGCTTATCAGGAGGATGGGGACCAGGCTGAGGGCGCCTCTTTCGTGGCATGGGGACTGGAAGGGAGATTCTTTCTGCAACAAAAAGAAAGAAATAGATGATATTTAGCATCCAAAATCCATGAGATCCATCCTCCACATGTCCAGGATAGGGATAGACTCTCCTGCACTGGGTGTGTGGGAAAGACACAGTTTGGCACTCCTCCCAACACAGCCAGGCGAATGATCCCCACAGAGAAATCTGCACTTTCAAATGGCAGAAACATTGGCACCTCCCTGCCCACTGCATCAGTGGGGCCCCCAGCCCCAGGACAGCTGAGGGCAGGCCATCATCACCTGGAGCTTACAGCACTTTCAGGTGACCATCAGATGAGTGGCCACGCAGGGGGGCAGTGGGAGTGGGAGCAACTCACTCTGGGCCTCTGCTTCCACCGCCAGCTGTTGGCTTCTTTCTCTCTCTGCCTCCTCCTGCAGCCGCTGCGCCTGAGCTCTCAGCTCAGCCACCAGTTTTAGGTAACTCTTCTTGCATCTGAATCCCCTGAAAACTGTTCAGAGAAAAGCTGTGGTTATAAAAAAAAATGTTCATCATGCCTTTGTCACTCCCTGGGGGAAGCGCACTGGGTGATATTCCTTCACCCAGTGCAAAGCCCTTAACACTCCAATTGCATTTATAAAGAGCAATGCAAACTCTACTGTGAGCAGGCAGTCAAAACCATGCAAGAACTGTCTTCTACTCTCTAAGCTGCCAGATCACGGATTTAAAAAAATCAAATTACAGATCTAAGCTCTCATCTCTAATGCCAAGGCACAGGATGCTAAAAAAGAGTCTCACAGGAGGGCCTGTGTTAACCATCCATCTCCTTGGTACCCTTCAGACACCATGAAGGAGATTGGATTTCCACAGTGTCAGCCCACAGGATAACCTTTCCCACGAAAAGCCATCACAGGGTTCATCAGGAGCATTAGAGACATTGCATTATCCCACCTACTCTACCAGGTACCAAAGCACATGAACTGAAAGCCGCACCCTCTCATTCCCCACTACACTCACATCTTCCCCACGGAGGAGAACAAGGCACAGCATGTGGCAGTTGGATGTTTGTCATACTGTACAGTGCATAGCTGGAAGCTGCTCAGATGCTTCAGCAGTGCAGCAACCTGTACAGAAGTACAACAGAGAGGGACCAAGCAGGGTGACAGTCTCCTCCCTCTGGTTGCACAGTCCTCCTGGAGCCTGTGCAGAGGGAAGTACCAAACTGCCCACAGTGCCTGCTCTTGAGAAACAGGCTGCCAGAGCAGACACTACCTGGAAAGGAAAGAAAAAAACCAACCCAAAATGAAATCCCATCCCCTTCTGCCTGTCTCAGGAATGAGATCTGCTTCACTCATCTTATTTTCCCTCTCCTCAGTTCAACATCGCTCACAAACAATCCCCCACTCCAGAAGACAGCTAACAAGATCTCGGGCCACAGCCAAATCATACACCTGCCCTGCTCAGCTCAGTTCTCCTGTGCACATGCTTTCCCTTTTCAAGACTCACACTGTCTGATGGCTCTCCCCGACTGAGGATGAGCACCAATGAGGTGGGCATCTGCAGTAAGCACTCTGACTCCACAGGGCCTTGACATGGAGATGATGCCTGACCTGCCTTTCTGTCATCTGCAAAGGTGCAATGGTGGAGCAGGTGCTGGAGAAAAGTTTTTCCTTGCTCTGGTCTGAGATCAGAGTTGAGGGACTCTCCTGCCTCAGTGCTCACCTTTCTGTATGACAACTGCTGCTCTTTCCAGTCGCTCCACGTACTTCGCCAGCTGTTCCTGGTGCCAATATTTAAAGAAAAGTCGTGACTTTCTGTGAAGTTGAGGAGAGAAAGAAGCAGTGAGAAACACTGTTTGTCTAAGCTTGCGTCCACCATCCTTTGGACAGACCCCTCCTACAGCCGTAAAGTTCTCCCTGAAGGGAACCAGTTAACAGTCTACACGTATAAAGCCTCTGCAGTTCAGGCCCCCCATTCCCAGCAACAGTGATCCACACCTACCCACATATCCAGCCTGTCAGCTCTGTACTTTGCAGTATCTCCAAGCAGCTAAAAGAGAGGAAAAAAGTGAAATAAATCTCATTTTCCACCCAAAGTGAACACTATGCAGCCAGCGGTTCTAGGTGCATAAAGGGGGAGAAAGTGCCTCAATGATTCTGCATTATGTTCTCTGTCCTGTCATCTGATCACACTCAGTAACTGGCTGTCAACCTGTAGTGCTCCTTGAGGTACAGCTAGGATCACATTTGGGAATAGCAGCAAAGGGGTTCTCTGAGGCAGATTTCCTTCAACTCCCTGGAAGGCAATTCTGCAGAGCCTATTTTATTCTCAGAACTGTTTTTCCTATTTTCTGTTTCCAAGCTCTTTGGAGCACAGAAGTTGCAAGGTTGGCAGAAGACCTTGGGGGAAGAGCCTGTTTTCCAATTCCAGTTTCATTTTGCAAACTTTAGTGATAAAATTTAGGTCACTCAGAAAGATTCCCCAGCACTTGGAATGGAAAGCAATACTTCAGCTGCACCACACAGACAGCTTCCTCCCTCTGCCTGCAAATCCAACCATAGTGGCACTTTTTGCTAGTATCTCACATAGCAAAGCAGAAGTGGTTTTCCTTCCATCTCAGCCAAATTCCGCTGTGCTAGACTCTATATCCAAGGTATTTTTTTTCTTAAAAGCTTCCTATGATTTTTGTCTCTGAAAACACATCGTGTTGCCTATCTACCATCATCTGTCTCTCATCCATGAGATTCTCTCTTGATTTGGATCTCATCTGGGTTTGCAATTCTTATTAATTCAATATCCTTAGTAACTTCTAGGAAGCTCTGTGAAGGCTGGAGAAGCTACTGCCAGGAGAGAATTTTTCCAGGAGAACATTAAACTCTTTTTACTAAAAGACAAAAAATAAAACAAAAAAACCCCACCAAAAAAAAAAAAAATCAGCTGGCTGCCCTACACTTCATTTTCACTATCAGTCACAACTGACCATGGCAGGAAGGAGGGACTGGGAAAGTGGAAAAGAAGAGGTGAGGAGTTGCTGCCCTAGATGTAGGAAGTAAAAAGCTGATGGGGTAAGACTGCAGAGCTGGAGGGGCATTTACGTGTGTAAGGAACAGTCAGGTCCTGAAAGTGCTGGGGGTATACTATGCCTGGATACATAAAAAATTCTTGGACCAGAAATACCCTCTCTAGCCTGGGAGACATTCAGTGCTGGCTGCTTGCTCAGCATCACCTTTATCTTCTTCTTAGCCATGAGGCCACTAGGAAAAAGCCTGGAGAGGCACCTGGAAACTGTGCTGAGCCTCTGATATACTGAGTTCTGTGGACACCCTTGACCATTATTGCGACTCTCTAAATTGAGTACATTAGCCAGTTCTCATTCCACAGGATAGCAAGGCTTTATAGTAATTGAATTGCTACATAGTAATTCAAGAAAGATTTCATCATTGTACCAAATATTTTTTAAACACTAACTGTCCTTGTCTAGGGATTTGTGTTCCCCATCACCACAAAAACCCATCCTCACTTTGTTCCTTTTACTCAGCTTGCTATGCTACTCTGATAGCAAAAGTCTCTGAAGACCAAACTGGATTGCACATAACAAAGGAAGGGTTCATACCTTTCTTTTGTGAGGGAAACATCCACTTTAACTAGAAGAATTCCATATCTGTGAAAAACAAACCAATATAGCAAGGTAAGAGCCAGATCCTTGACGTGCTGAGCTGATCCATGTCACCCTTAGACCAAACAACAACAAACCACTGTCTGTTCCATTCAGCCTCCCACAGCAACCCCATGATATCAGGCACGTGATCTTTTAAGAGGCTGTCTGACTCCTTGCCCATATCTAGTTATCACACTCGCTTCCCTAACAGTATCTAACAAGGAACATTCAGAAGTTTAAACAAACCTTTCAGCAAATTCCTCAAATGAAGGTCTCCAGGAAAAACCATCTCTTCGGATACGGATTGTCTCTAGCAGTCCATTGTACCGGAGCTGAAGCAGCACCACAAAGAAGATCACAGAAACAAACAGAAACAGGTCATTAGGACATCAATTTGTTCCTCTACAGCCAGAAATGCCTTCATTGAACCCTAAACTTCACTAGTTCAAAATTAAAAAGTTTCTTTCTGAAAATGTTTCCTTGGTTAAAGACTTAATTTACCACATCCTGTAACTGAGATGATTAACCACTGTCAGTTAAAAGTTGGAAACCATAAAAACCAATGACTGAAATAGCTTCACCTTTCAGCCATGGGTACTGCTTTGCCTCTGTTCCTTAGAGGATAGCGTTTTACTTCCGAATCTGGGCACAGAAATACTCTGAGGCATGGATGAACTTGCCTCTTAATCCTATCCTTTCTTATATACATTAAACAGGCCACAGACCTTTTTGAACTCTTCTAATAATTTTCAGTATTCTTTAAAGTGTCTGGATCTCAGACCTGACACAATATCCAAAGATGGTCATATCAGCACATTTCAGCTCCTATCAAAGCAATCCCATCTTGGCTGCTATTCAGAGTTGCTCTGCTGATGGGTGAGAACAGTCTCCTCCAGGAAGCATCATTTTTTCTGGAGAACTGTCTGTACCAGTCCCCATCCAGGAGATGCAAAGATGAATCTCATTGCATTCATGCAATGCAATCATTGCATTCATGAAAAATGATTTCATTGCATTCATGAAAAAGAAATGAGAGAGAACTAAGACTGCAAACCCTAGACCTAGCAGTCTGTGTCACAGAAACAACCAAGTACCCAGACCCTTTATGTTCATAAAAAGCATGCCTACTCTTTCTCTTGCAAGGGGAGCCTCAGACCAGTCAGCTTCCAGAATCTCCACAGCCTTTCGGTGGGGTCTGCCCTCCCCACTGAGACGTGGCAGAAGTAACTGTAAAGGACATTGCTTTTCCTCACCTGCTGCAGCACCACCTGGCTGTCCACCACACCTGGCTCCTTCTGGCTGTTGGGCTTTATACAGCGCACAAAGTGTGGGTTGGCAGAATACATCTTCTCCATGAGCACCATCAGGGAGTGCTGGCGAGGGCAGAGAAAGATCAGCAGTCCAGCAAGCCAAAGCAATATTCTGCAATGAGAACTGCTTTCCCACCCCACAGCAACTTCCCAGGCTTGGACAGCAACTGGGTCATCCCCACCATGATCAGCTGTGCTTGGTACCCAGAAAAACCCCTGTCTACACATTGGATGTTTTAACTATGCTTAGCGGCCTGGAAGCTCTCAAGAAAATATCACTGCACTCATCTCAAGGGGCACTACAGGGCAGCAATACTTTACCCGGAACTGAGCTCCAGCAGACTGTTTTCGTGTGCTGTTGAACTTGTCATCTACTGCTGGTATGACCTGAAACCAGATCCAAACAAAAGGATAACCCCTGGAAGGAGGACTTGATTATCACCCAAAGACCTCTGCTGGAAAGCAGACGGCAAAAAGGAGAGAGAATGGATTTCAGGGGAGGGAAGACAAGTTAAACATATCAATAGAAGCAAGCAGAAAACCTGGTAAAAAACAAAGGAGAAATTGTTACAAGCAGATTGCTGTCAGCTCTTATTTTCAACCAATTCCTATCTGGTCTCATTTTCAGCCAGTTTCTCAAATAATAAATATCAGGTAACTATGCCATCGTTTATCAATTTCCATGTGGACCTGAAGTGCAATACCTTGGCTTTGACATGAGGCATCAGAGTCCCCGTCCTGGAGATAGTGGCTGGAAGAACAGAGACAATAGTTAATTTTGTACCTTTGCTCCAAATCAACCACGTCTAAACATTCAAACCTCACTTCACACACAAGTCTGTCTACAAACACTGAATCACAGACAGGGCACCAGGTTTCACCATGTGGAAATACAACGAAAGAAAAGAAGGGAGAGGAAATGCAAATATATGAAGCATACAATGCAGGCAATATTATTTTCTGCCACTGAGAAGACAAGGCAATCAGGTTATTAACAACCCTAAATGACCTTCAAAAGAAATATCAACGGGCATCTAACAACGCATAAAAAAGGTACAGATAGCAAATGAGAAGCTGACCTATAATGGCCAACACTGGAGGTTATATAAAGTCAGATAGCTTAAAACTAATTCAGTGACAAGATGAAAAACTCAGGGAAGTTGAATTTATTGAAGGATCTAGTGACAATCTTGCACATCCTTGATGCAACTGTCTCATGTGAACCATAGAATCACAGAATGCTTGAGGTTGCAAGAGACCTCTGGAGGTCATCTGGGCCAACCCCTTTGCTGAGCAGGGCCACCTACAGCTGGTTCCCCAGGACTGAGAACAGGTTATCTCTCCTGTTTATGAACTTTCATGGAGTTGGGACTAGACTAAGTATCTGCAGTAACAGTGTGAAAGTGGTAACAAAGAAAGATACTCCTGAGCAGAAGAGCTGAAAAACACAGAAGAATAGGAATGAAATTCATCAGTTAATTGTAAATCCCAGAAACTGGCTTGGACTGAAAAGGACAAAAAAAGATACTTTCTGCACCAGAAGTACTGTGTCCAAACAGACAAATTCCAAGGAAGCATCCACCTGACTTTTCTTTAAATGTTTACTTTCATAGAAGCCTTGGAGACTCTGAAGCATTATCAATAACTGGTAAAAAGGGAGTGTAGTGGTGTGACAAATAATGTACGACCTCAGAGTTATTTAACAGCTTGTTACTGAAAACCAAAATGTGTTTGAAAAGGACAATCTCTACACTTATTGCTTATGGCTCTACAGCATTCTATTTTCAGTGTGAACAGACAGAAGTTATGGCCTTGTCCAGCTTCATCTCTAGACAAGAACAGATAGAACTTATGATGTTGTCCAGTTTTATTCCTAAATAAGAACAGAGTATATGGAGACAGTCCTGCACTGGCCCTGGAGACAACGGGCTATCTAATCTGAGGGAAGACATCTGAGCAGTGGCTAATTTTCTGGAAGAGGACACAACCTGCCTTGCTTTCCAGCCATGGTCAAACCAAAAGATGCTAGCTAGAAAATTTACTGGATAGATACCAGGAGGTCTTGCTGATGGGTAAACTAACACCCTACTTCAGCAAAATGACAGCTATTAACCAAAAACTGATCCCTAGAAAGGTCAGGCTCTGCTGTAACTAGCATCTGTAAAGAAGGTCAGGCTTGTGGTCAGAACTATGCCTATGCAGTGGCCCTTCAATTTCACAGGAAGAACATCTCTGAAGGCTACTCCTGCTATCGTGCCTACATACCCAGGGGAATGAACAGCTCCCACAGCTCAGTATATAGCAGCAGCCCCACTTCAAGCTGCAGCCTTCCCAGGGTCTCCCTGGCGTTGCCAGCTGTGAAACACATTCATAGTACATGAACCTCATCCTCACACTTAGCTCTTGCCAAGGTGGGCCTTGATTCATGTGGGATGCCCTATCAAAGCAGAGGGACTTGCCTGTGAACAGCACACTGAGCAAGGGGGTGATGCTGTTGATGAAGAGCCCACGGATGTTGGCTGGCAAGGTGTCTCTATTCTTCTCTAGAAAGCCCCCAGCAGTATATTGTACCTAGGGGAAAGGACAGGAAGTCACTAAGGCCAACACTGCTCACAGGCTCACTGTGAAAGCCACCTCCACAGCTTGCCAGGAGCAACTACAGGAATTCTGTAAATGCATATGCACCCCATTCAGATGCGAATGATGAGGAACAAAACCCTGCGGATGGCACTGAGGCATCAGAAACACAGAAGTGCAGCGTAACACTGAGATATCCACCTTTTCTTGTTCTCCTTTCCTTGATTATGAAGGAAATTTCATTTCATTTACTTTTGGTTTATGCTTCACTCTTTTCCTTGGTCTTCCCACCTTCCCTTTGAATAGGCTTCCATCCTCTTGTCGTGCATCCCCTTGTTTCTCTTGCTGCCTGCCTTTCTCATCTCCAGCCTGCCACTCTCCTTTCTGTGTTAGGTGTTCTTTTTTGTAATAAAGAACATCACAAGTAATAACTTAGTCAACAGTGGTCAGATTAGATTACTAAATTGCATATTACAATGACCTGAATCATCATATCTCCTCCTGCTCCAAAAATTATCTCAAATTAATTCAAAGCGTTTGGGCCAATGCTTTCAAAATTGCATGTAAAGTTACACGCAATAGTCCTAAACCCCAAGCTGCTTAGATACCGTTTGAATGTATAAATAACTGCCTCCACTTTCAAAACATTCATTACTTGGCTGCTCTCACTGTGTTCCTCAGTGTTTGCAATAAAATAGTGACTGTTTTGCTCTGGAACCCAATAGGTAAAGGTAATGCCTTTAGACTGTCCTTCAGTGCTGCACAGTGGATGCAGGGCTTTTATTTTACAAAGGACTATTTTAAGACTAGAGCTCAAATAGAATGATGAGTACAGCAGATTCTTCTAATACCCTCTGCTTCCCAGAGGTAGCCCCACTTTCCACAAAGGTCTTCTCCTATACCTTCTACTGAAACCCCAGGGAATCCTAGAAGGCAACTTCCCGGGAACACATCACTTCTGTTATATCATTGTCGGACCATACACTCCTCAATATCAAAGCCTTATTTGTCAAGCGACACATTTCCCCCCTCCTAAATACATTACAACAGCATTGTTCCTGCAAAAAGTACATACTTTTCCAGCATAGTGAATGATGCTGAAGCCCAAAACATGGCCTCGGCCTGGCTGGAAGTGTAAATTCCCCTTGAAGCTGCTATTTAGTTTATCCACAAACGTCTTATCAGTTGCCTGCAAGAAAGCAGATTTCATAATCAAACGATAAGGCTGCAATATGTACCTGATCAGGGTATGTGGAACCAAAACAAAGTGTTGGAAGTGGCCTTGGCTGTGCAACAGTTTTGTACTGTACATTCTCTCTGATTCTCCTCAGGGATGCCAATATCATCAGACTGTCCCTGACTGGGCTGTCCAGACTCATTACTCACGTGTAGGAATACTTCTGGTCATTGTGCTTTTTGAAGTCACACTCCAGCATAAGAGCGCTCTCTGCAGGCCAGATATCTATTGCTACATTCCCCATGCTATTTTCTCTGCCCCCGATCTCATGCATACCTGAGGGAATGCACTCTGCTCATCCAGAAGAGACAGGAGCCCAAGTGGCTTGGCCAGAAGCAGATTCTGCAGGGAAGGAGACACATTACACATCTAAAGCAGTACAGGGCATCCCCTCTCACCTACACCACCTTTTGAGAGGTTCTTCCCAGGTGCGTCTCCTCCCTATGACACAAAAAGCAAGACTCCTCTCCTGGTTGGGTGGAGCAATTCTCTTCTGTCAGTCCTCTCACATACCAGAATAGGTTCATTATTGTTGAAAGTGACAGGCTCCCAAGGCAGCTCTTCTTCCTTATAGGCAGCCTGCTCCAGCTGGAAAATGTGCTGAAACACAGAAAAAAGAGGTTGGACCACCCAGCGGACTTGGTTAGACAACCCTGAACATCTTCCTTCCCACCCTGAACAGAGGACAGAGGTGTGGCTCTCTCACCCATGGCATGAGAGGCCCAAGATGAAACTGCTGTTCTGCATGCTCATCTGTAGGCCTGTCACTCACTGATGCTGGTGCATCAAGCAGGAACAGTTCTCAGAGTGAAAGTGTTCCTGCTCTGCCCACTTTGGTCACTGCTTGACCCTTCTACTTCTTCTTTCCCTGCCCCAGTGGCTCCCCTGCCACAGCAGAGAAGGTTGCAGTTTCATTAATCACCATTTTTGCCTGTCCATGCAATAGACCTGTTTTTCCCCAAACTCTCCTTCATATGCAAGGTAGATCAGTGCTCTGCTTTATCTGCCACACCAGGTGAGGTCACCCACAGCAGACTTACACAGTTGAAGAAATGCTGCAGCTGCTCATTGGCCAAGTTTATGCAAAGCTGTTCAAAACGATTCACTGCAAAGTTTTCAAACCCAAAAATATCCAAGATACCTAAAAGAGGAAAGATGAACACATCATGGAGCCTGCAGACCATCCTCGCAGACAGCTGTGTACCCCAACACACAACTAAATCTCACATCACCCAGCTCTTGTGGCACAGGGAAACCCCAGTCGAGTCACCAGTGGCACCTCTCACATAACTCCCCTTGAAGAACTAGTTAGGAGAGGCCTCACTCACACCCTCAGCTCATCTGTAAAGCCAGAGTGCCCCAGAACTACGGCCTCACAGTTGCTTCAGACCAATCAACTGCTCAGAGTTAGCCAAGGCCCTACCGACTTCTTATCTCCAACATGATCATGTCTTTGATAATGGAACCCTGCATACCATCTCTGCGAAACCTCATATTGTGCCTTTCCTTTGTTGTGGTTGAGGGACGCATGTTTGAGGACAGAACAGGAGCAAAGCAGGCAGAACTCACCTATCTCCCTCAGTTCCACCTCAGGATCCACATTCTCAGCCAGCAGCTCATTGATCTTGCAAACGATCCAGCCAAACACTCGGCCATACGCCACCTTTGCAATGGAGTCCCGAGCATCTGCACAGAGAGAACAGCAGCAGCTCGCTGCAGGGCTCCAAGGAGAGCAGGGAACACAGCACACAAGCTAGCTCAATACATTCACCTCTAGCAACATTGTCTAGTGGTTTATGAAGCTTAAAGATCAGATAAACATTAGATATCTGCCTGATCGTCCTTGCTCTCTGCATGCTCACACAGAAGTCTTTCATTCCAAAGTCTTCACAATCTTTCTAGGAGATCAGATATGGCATACTAGGGCATTTGTGAGACCATCTGAAATGGAAAATTTAATTTCCAAAAAAGTCCAGCCGGTTTTTAGAATATCCAGAGACTTGGTCTTCCCTCTGCAGGTCTGCTGAGTCTGGATTCCCTCACTGAGAAACCAAGCGAGAGGCTCCAAGTTGTACTTGGAAAACTGAATGATTCTCTTCCTCCTAACCCACAGCTGCAAAGTATTTAAACACTGTGGGCAAGAGGAGAATGCAAATGATGGAAAGCTTGCTGACATTCTAAGAAGAATGAGACCAAATAACCATGACCTCCTGCATGATGCACCTACTGATGGGAGGTGTTTATTTTATTGTCTAGAGAAATGCAAGAGAAGAAATTTGGGAAACAGAACTAGCTAATTCTGCATTTTCAGTTTTTTCTTTCATTTATCTTAAACAATAATCTAGATATCCTGGGATTTCGTGCTTTTTAAAAAAATATTTTACTTTAACTGAACCTTTTTGTGCTGATTATCTTGGATTATTTTCTTGTCTTATTGAAAGGGAAAATAACACCTTGCACTTGTTATTTTAACATACTTTCATCTCACTCCTTCCTTGACACTGTGCTCTCTCATTGATTCAGTTATTTCTCCATCTACTACCTAGAGCTCTGCACACTGCCAGCATACCGCAGCAGGAACCTTCCCCTCTTTTGTACAAGTACCTACAGTTTCCTTCCAGGCTGGACTGAGGGAGAAAGCAAGGCTAATTCCTTCATTTCTCATTTAATTTCTGCAGTCTTCTGGAGATCAAACAAAAGCAGCATTCATGGTCCTATATGTCAGTAAGAGACTAAACAGATAAACACTGATATACTTGCCTCCCTGCAAGAAAAGTGAAGGGGCACATACAGATATCTTTGTTCCCAACAAGTTGCACATGTGTGGAGATACCCTTACCTCCAATATGTGTCAGTCTTTCTGGCCAGCACATCTGCAATTCATTATGTTTCTTACCTTCTGCTTGCTGCTGGGTGTGAAAACGCTGAATCTGCTCACCTCGGGTCACTGACATCGTACAAATAAGGCATTTTAACAGTTCATCTTCCTGGACCCCAAACTGACCCTGGGAGAGAAGAAATAGATGAGGACAGTCAATAGTAAACCTTTCTTCTACATGTGGGGAGTAACACCCCCACATGTGTAACACCCAGTGTACTGAGGTCATGATTCAGACTGAGGCCTTTGAGCTCTGCTGTCAGACAAATATTACTGTTAACATCTTGCAGCACCAGTCAGATGCAGGCTCTGACATTTGCATTATCCGTGCAGTGACCAAGCTCAGTCCTGCGCTCATATTTTCTGTTTTGCTCTGCCAGTGCTGCCACCTTTCACCTTCTCTGGGAGCCGCACCAGTCCCTGCTGAGTGGTTTAATGACTTATTGAACAGCACCACACCGAGGTGACTGTGCAAGTGCTGAAGTCTCTGAGCTTCAGCAGACACCAGTCACACAAACCCACAAGAGACAGGAAACAAAGGGAACTCATACACAACTGAACCCCTCAGTGATCGCTTTAACAGGAATTCCCCTCCTGTGGGCAAAAAACAAGGAGGAGACTTTAAGAAATAAGACAAAAAAAAGTTGGCTGGTGAACAGATGTAGGTGGTTGTTTCAGGCATGGTGGAGGAAGGAAATAGGCAAAGAGAAGTGAGTGAAACTAAAAATCAAGGGAGCTGGGGTTTCAAACAGGTCAAAATAAAAAGACATAGAAAGGGCAGAAATACGTTACATTTTTCTACTTTGTGTTGTTAACAAAGTAGGAAAATGTATCCATCCCATATAACAAAAATGGGATGGTCCTGCAGAATATATACTTCTTAATCTGTGATAATTTCATGTGAAATAGTAGAGAGTTTAATTCTGCAAAACCAACAAAAATTGATAGCAGTTAAGGTTGTATCCTTGGACAAGATCTCAAAAACACAGAACTAGTGTTCAGATACTGCACACCTGAATTTCTCCAAGGCATCATCACAGTTAGTAACAAATAACATTTAATTTTAAAAAGCTTGTACTGTATGAAGTCAACAAGGCATGTGTGATACTGCCATATGCAAGACACTGGTTCTAGACACACAAGAAATAGAAGCTGGGAAGCGTCTCTTTGGGAATGAATAGCAGTGAACACAAATGCAGTCAAAGGGTCATACTGTGCATTTCTGAAAAAAACTCCTTGTTCTTCAGAAGCTTTCACACTCTGAGGCAGAAACGTCCTCTGCCATCTCTGGCAGGAGGAGCTCCTGCAGTCACACTGCCAGTGGGAACTGGCATCATATCCATATGGTTCTGTCAGCTCTTCTTGTGACTCACCGCTGCAGCCTTCAGCCATCCCCGGGAGGCTTCGCTCACTTTTACAGACCCATTGCTCTCCTCAGGCTCAAAGGTCACGTTGCCCAGAGACAACACACCAGCCAAGATAGCCTGCATGTCCACTTGCTCCTAAAGCACAAAAGAAAGGTGACTGAATAGTTATCAGCATGTAACATATATAACAGAAGTTCCACAGAAGTTGGAGAGGTGAGGGAAAGGCACAGGCAGCCTGCAGAAAAAGGTTCTACACAGTGTCTGACAGACTCAGGTGGTTTGGAAGCAACATGGAAAATCCAGAAAGAAGAAAAATAGGACTGAGCCTCAAACCAGCAGCCAGAAAGATACCCTATACCTGCAGGAAGCACAGATGGAAATTACACTACCCCAGAACTGACCTGTTCTTGGAAGCCCACCATGTCAAGGGCATTGCACACCTCTTGGTATTTGTGCTTCCAGCGCTGAGCTACATCCTGTGTACCAAAGCGTCCACTTATGTACCTGAGGAAGTGTATATCCCATACAAAAACCGTCACACAATCAGCACAGCATGTCAGTCCTACCCCAAAGGAACAAAGCAGATCAGCAGCAGTGGAGACATGAAAGGGAAAGAAACTTTTCGAAGGTAATGCAACAAAGAAGAGATTCCAGACCTCCCAGCTTCCATGATGACCCATAAGACCTCGTCATGCAGCTCCATTCAGATCACACTCCAGCTTCCATTCATTTGTTTACCTGTACCAGGCTTCACAGGTAGAGTCACAGGGCAGAGGCATAGATTCCATTATGCTGCTTTCCCCTCCACCCCCCATCATGAAGACTAAACTATGGTCTGCCTTTGAAGTACCTGTAGAGTGAAGGATCCAATAGCCCATACATCTCCTTTTTCTCCAAAGAGAGTCCAGCAAACATGTAGTAGAAGATATGGAAATTCCTTTCCCCGGTGTCTTGTTGCACTACCCGTGACTTCTCTAACAGGTACTCACTCAGCTTTGCACCTCGCACTGCACACAAGAAAGTGACAGGGTAAAGTATGCACCTGGGGACATGATGCTGACTGAGCTGTCCCACATCTCTTATTTGGTGATAGGAGCATGGAATTGCCTAAAATAACTTTCTGGTGTACAAGACCCTCTAGGCTGCCCAGCACACTGGAATTGGGCTTCTCCATGCTTCCCATCATCTTAGAGATGTCTGCTCATCTCCTTTAGCAGCAACCAAGGCTTCTGGCACCACAGAGTATTACTGATATCTTCCCTGCACCATCACCCCCATATCCTTGCTGTACTCCCACACTGTCCAAACCCAGGCCTTATCCTACAGCTGTAGTTACTGTAAGATTTTACTTAATTGCACACCCTTCTCACAGGGAACCAAGTGCCAAAATTTCACCCTCCACAAGTTCTGGCAACTCAGTCCACTCCCACTGGTGTCTAACCATCCCCTAAACTAGTAATTGCCCTTGACTTTACCTGTATTATTCTGGAAACGCAGCTGTATGTATTTTCCAAAGCGGCTGCTGTTGTCATTCATTACAGTCTGGGCATTGCCAAAAGCTTCAAGCAATGGATTTACCTAAAACAAGTGAGCAAGTAGAACAAGCATTCTTCATATTAAGTGATCCAGTCTAACTGACTTGGAAAAGTTTAACTCTAGCATTTACTATTCAACATTCAGCTGGAATAGGAATCACTCCATGAGTACTCAAGATCATCTATTTTATCATATCCTGGATAAGGAAACTGAGAGAGGCAAATATAACACAGACTAAGCAGCATGAGATTACTGAAAATAAGCACAAACTCATCTGATATCAGGAAGATCATTGACTCATTTGTTAAAAGATAAAGTTGGTTTAACAGATTTTCACAAAGCATCTGACATGGTATCACTAGATAATTTGACTGTAATACTACAACAGGGAACTACAGACCAGTCAGTGAGGGAACTACAGGCTGGTCAGTCTCACCTCTGTGCCTGGCAAGATCACAGAGAAGGTCCTCCCGGAAATTATGCTCAGGCACATGGAAAATAAGGAGGTGAGTGGTGACAGCCAACATGGCTTCACTAAGGGCGAATCATGCCTGACAAATTTGGTGGCCTTCTATGATGGGGTTACAGTGTTGGCGGATAAGGGAAGAGCGACAGACATCATCTACCTGGACTTGTGCAAAGCATTTGACACTGTCCTGCATGATATCCTTTTCTCCAAATTGGGGAGACATGGATTTGATGGATGGACCACTCAATGGATAAGGAATTGGCTGGATGGTTGCACTTAAAGAGTTGGTCAATGGCTCCATGTCCAAGTGGAGACCAGTGACGAGTGGTGTTCCTCAGGGGTCGGTACTGGGACCAGCACTGTTTAACATCTTTGTTGGCGACACGGACAGGGATTGAGTGCACCCTCAGCAAGTTTGCCGACGACACCAAGCTGTATGGTGTGGTCAATACGCTGGAGGGAAGGGATGCCATCCAAAGGGACCTGGACAGGCCAGAGAGGTGGGCCTGTGCAAACTGCGTGAAGT